GTGTGTGTGCACGTGTGTGTGCGTGTGTGCGTGTGCGTGTGTGTGTGTGCGTGTGTGTGTGTGTGTGTGTGTGTGCGTGCGTGCGTGCGTGCGTGTGTGTGTGTGTGTGTGTGTGTGTGTGTGTGTGTGTGTGTGTGTGTGTGTGTGTGTGATGAAATGTTTCTGAGATGAAGATAATTTTATTCAGATTATTAACCTTTCAAGGCAGGTGAAATTGCTGACCCAGAATATGTAGAGAGAACCTTCACGGCGCGCATAACGGAGATAAAACACCTCAATTACTGGGAGCACTTGAAGTTCCTGAATCTGTACTCCCTGGAACGCAGGCGGGAGAGATACGTGATTATATACATCTGGAAAATCCTAGAGGGACTAGTACCGAACTTGCACGCGAAAATCACTCAGAACGAAAGCAAAAGACTCGGCAGACGATGCAACATCCCCCCAATGAAAAGCAGGGGTGTCACTAGCACGTTAAGAGACAATACAATAAGTGTTAGGGGCTTGAGACTGTTCAACTGCCTCCCAGCATACATAAGGGGGATTACCAATAGACCCCTGGCTGTCTTCAAGCAGGCACTGGACAAGCGCCTAAAGTCGGTACCTGACCAGCCGGGCTGTGGCTCGTACGTTGGATTGCGTGCAGCCAGCAGTAACAGCCTGGTTGATCAGGCTCTGATCCACCATGAGGCCTGGTCACAGACCGGGCCGCGGGGGGCGTTGACCCCCGGAACTCTCTCCAGGTAAACTCCAGGAGGGTTAGTAAACTAGGCTAACCCAATTGTGTGACTACGTTAGGCTCATTTCTATTGGGGTTCTTTGATCCTCTTCTCCAAGATGCTATCCACAGCAGTCGACTAACATCCAGATATCTACTTAATGCTAGGTGAACAGAAACAACAGATGTAAGGAAACCTGCCCAGTGTCTCCACTTACCTGCCTACCTAGAGAATAATCCGGGGATCAATGTCCCCGCTGTCTGGACCTCGACCAGGCCTCCCGGTGGATGAGAGCCTGATTAACCAGGCTGTTACTGCTGGCCGCACACCATCCAACGTAAGAACCACAGCCCGGCTAATTGGGCACTGACTAGGTACCTGTCCAGTTCCCTCTTGAAGACAGCCAGGGGTCTGTTGATAATCCTCCATATATGTGATGAAAGGCTGTCGAACAGTCTTGGGCTCTATACACTTGTGTTTTCTTTTAGTGTGCTCATGGCACTCCTGCTTTTTATTGGGAATATGTTGCACCGCGTGCCGAGTCTTTTACTTTCGTAATGAGTGATCCCCTCAAGGGAGGTTCCTTGACTTTGATGAGGGGGCTCTTGATCTAGGGAATTGGATCTGTGCTCTAGTTCCCTGAATTGAGCCTGAATACCTTCCATCCTCCCATATACGCTGTATAACCCTACGAGTTTATCGCTCCCCATGATTATTATAATAATAATAATCGCAGGGAGTGATGTTTGTGCGCAGATTTGGGACCAGCCCCTTTAGGATTTTCCAGGTGTAGTTTATGATGTATCTTGACTGCGATGGGATCGAATCCAGGTTCTTCACATGTGAGCCGAAGGCGCTACCTCTTGAGCCACGACCCACTACCACCCCCACAAGTCATGTACTCATTTCTATACTGTGTGAAGAGACTAATTGGCAGAACGGATAGGGCACTCAAAGCGAGCCATTTTTAAAACTAGCATACCAGTGTTCCAATCACTGTACCATGCCAATCTAATGATATTCATTCAACTACAGGAGCTAAACGTCCTTTTGCCTCCCTCCCTCTTAGTAACGTGCATCGTCAGCAAGTTCTGGCTAGGTAGGGGCCAGGAGACCGTGAGCTACCAAGGCCACCACCACCCTCCTGGATGTCCTGTTGAAGAAAACCAGTGCAAACGCAGGGAGGAGAACAGACCTAGGTGTATTGCTATACACCAGGAAGGTTAGCATGGCCACCACTATGAGCACAGTTCAGGTTTTTACAGGCGGATTTCCCACCAGCATGGCTGTGTAAGGGTCTGGCTAAAGTTATTTCGAAGCTCTTTTCAAATGGGTTCGTAAGCCATCCGTTCTGCGAGTTGTTTAAAATCTAGTTATGTCGGCTTCGCCAGTCAACAAAGTGGTAGTTATGTATGTATGGAGGGGGGGGGGAGGGAAGGAAAGGAAAGGAAGGAAGGAAGGAAGGAAGGAAGGAAGGAAGGAAGGAAGGAAGGAAGGAAGGAAGGAGAGAGTTGTGGTGTTGATGTGCAGCAACATGGGAGTGTGGTGGCCTGTTCAGGGTTTGTTTACGTTCCACAGCAGACTGCCGGGCGCCGCCACGCGGGGTTGCCACACCCACCCACACACACACAACTGGTTTTTTTCTTTCTTGCCTTCCCCCCCCCCCCCTCTCTCTCTCTCTCTCTCTCTCTCTCTCTCTCTCTCTCTCTCTTTCTGTCTCTCCGTCTCACCCTCTTTTCCCTCCTCCGTTCTTCCCTCCCCATGACGTAGGAATAAATAATTAATAATCATTGGAAAGGAGAGGGAGAAACAACAAAATGTATTTAAGAAACTGTAAATGTTGTCATAGAACATCTTACCAGAGGATATAAAAAACACTGCCAGAACAGGTGTAGAAATCTTCAAGAAAAAACCCTACAAATACCTCTGTCAAGTGCCGGATCAAGAAGGCTGTGATGATTGTGTGGGCCAGCAAGTCGCCAGCAGCAACAGCATGGTTGACCAGACAAGCCTAACCCAAGACTAGCAAGGCTGAGGGAACAGGAAAACTTGAAATCCGTCTAAGGTTGATCAGAGGGCTAGTGGCTACCAGGATTAAATCTGGTGAAGTCCCTTAACACCTGCTGTACCTGTTATCTTGCATTATATAGCTACTTAGTATTTAGTTGGCTATTGTAGGTTGCAATCTGGGAAGAGCTTGAGGACCGTTATGGAGATTAAAAAAGGTGCTGGATTATTCATTATGAAGATTAAAAAAGGTGTTGAATTATTGACCCTCAGGGATGGCAATCCAGGATAACCCAAGAAAATCAATCGGTTAATACCACTCCTCTTTGTGACAAAAAACATCTCTTTAAAACTCAGCCACAAGTTAAGGCACTTAACTTTTCTTATCTGTGCTACTTTACTCCTTCCTGTCTCATCATTGTTGCCACCCTCTTATTCTAATATTGAAAATAAAGACCAGTCATTATGGCTTATTTCCACTGGAGTCTTTTGATCCCGTTCCCCAGGAGCGATCCACAGCAGTTGACTAACACAGATACATAAAAGTTATTAGCATTCACAAATTCTAAGAATTTAACTCCCGTGAACGTTGTTGTTCAAGTGTGCCTTGTTAGTATCGAAAAGCAATGTAAAACGTCAAGCATGAATTCTTAGCATGCAAACAAAACCTATGTCGTCACATTGTGTGGGTAAAGGCTAGCCAGGGGCAACAGTGACTGACCACTGTACCACCAATAAAAAAAATAGTAAAATCCCCTCTTATCTCAGTCCAACACTGTCACATGGGAGGCAAATCCTGGGTCGTGGATTACCCGTCATTTAATATCACATACCTGCAAGTGCCTCCCAAGAAGCTCATTGCTAGTAATCCCTTCCTTAAATAACTTGTTAAAGCAACTGCTCAATTAGAAATTTTCCGCCTAGCTGGTAGTAATAAGTTATCACAAGTTATATACACTGATGGATCTAAACAGGAGTCTTCTGGCAGGGCTGCATCTGCTCTTGTTGCCACCTTCCTAGTTAAGAACGATAATAAACTTGTTGAACTACATATAAGAATTAACAACTGGGCGTCTAGATTGCAAACTGAACTGTTTGCAATCCTAATGGCGCTAAAGCTAACTAATGACACTGAGCCTGACTCTATCATCATTACTGATTCTATGTCATCACTGAATGCTCTTAACTCATATAATGACTCCAAGAACATGCTCATTGGAGAAGCCAGGTATAGATACTCAAAAATCAGGGACAAAGGAATTAATGTACAATTGCTATGAATCCCATCACACATTGGATTACTCTTTCATGATAAAGTTGATATGTTAGCCAAGAAGAGTACCCAGAAGGAGAATGTAGAATATAACTTTGGTATATCTGTGTCTAGCATTAGGAATAATATTAGGAGAGAAGTAAATAATGAAAATGATTGTTATAGGAATGCAGTTAGAAGCCTGAGTATATCTATAACCCACTATAACATGATCATAGATAAGTATGTTTATGGAGCAACTTGCAATGTGAACAGACTGATGTTGTAGTGGCCAGGCTTAGGCTTGGTTACAAGTACTTCTGGCAGTTTGGGAGACACACTGATGATGATCAAACTAAATGTAAATTATGTGATCAGGCATATGGTCACTCTCTTGAACACTATGTGCTTAATTGTCCACTTATTGAGGAATACAGAGATAGTATGACCTATGTGACATGTCAAGATATCTTATTAGCGAAAATAAGATACCAGATATACTAAGCAAATTTCATAAATTTGCTTTTAACGGATAAGTGAACTATAGATATGTAGCTATAAATCCATATGTAGTCCTGTTAACCCTTTGGGGCCTAGTTCCTAGGCCTTTTGTGTATCCCATATGCTCTTTCGGTACCGTCCACAGGAAGGATATGGGGTGCACAGTAAACTAGCCACTTGGTGGCAAAATCTAATCCATCCCCTCAAGGGAGGTTCCTTGGCGCTGGTGAGGGGCTCTTGATCTAGGGAATTGGATCTGTGCTCCAGTTCCCTAAATTGAGCCTGAATGCCTTCCCCCCAAGCTCTGTATAATCCCTACGGGTTTAACGCTCCCTAATAATAATAAGAATGAACTCAGCTATGCGGATTTTTTTATATGGAAGTGAAAAAAAATTGGGAATTAAGTTTATTTTCACCGTTCTTGAATGACAGTCTTCAGTTGCGCTGTATAATATCGTATGTGTATTTTATTTCTTAAAGCTTCGAAAGATTAAGGCTTGCCATTTTCTTTACTTCAACAGTTATGTACTCCGGCCAACACGCCAGCTACACCTCCAGCCTTTCCAGATGCGCTCGCTGCCTTCTCCAAGATGTCTACACAAGATAAACTTTCTACGTCTCCCTCAGGTACATGGTTAATGTGTCAGCTTGTATTTCATGACGCTACGCAAACTGAACCTGCTACTGTACCGAGTGTTTTAACATTTTGATGTGTACAAAACTGCGTGAAGTACCGCTTTCACAACGTGGAGCCTCACACCACGTAGAAAATAATAAATATTACTCTTCCTCTTCTTTTTATTCTTCTTTCCTCTTTTCTTTTCTTCCTCCTCTTCTCCCCTCCTTTTCTTTCCTCTTCTCATTTCCTTTCCTTTCCTTTCCTCTCCTCTCCTCTCCTCTCCTCTCCTCATGCTTTATTGCATTTTGAGTGTAAAGTTGAAATCAGTGGTAAAACTGTTATAATAATAATAATAATAATAATAATAATAATAATAATAATATAATTTCTACAAGTACATATACAAGGTATACAGACCTAGCTGACATCAGTGACATACTACTATATAGAAAGCCCCTTGTTATGCACAGCATTTCGGACAAATTAGGTCAGTTTTGTCCCACAATGCGACCCACACCAGTTGACTAACACCCAGTACCCATTTCTATTCAGGTACAGGTACACATAAATAGTTATATAAATTATCATGCATAGCAGCTTATGTGTAGATTACCTACGATAACCCAAAAAAGTCAGACAGTGACTTATTTCCATAGAGGTCCTTAATGAGGTTAACAAATTCAAATATTTGCACTCTTTACCCTGAAAATGTGAGTCGACATTATTGTGATAATACAGTATATGTCTCAGTAGACGTCGGGGATAAAATGGGTGTGGCGTGAGGCAGATAAATCTCTGTATACAGTATCTCATCATGTGTTGAAGTTGTGTGGATCGAGACAAATATATTTAAAATTCGGGCTTTTGAAATGAAGTCACTGACTTTTTTGGGTTATCCTAGGTAATTTACACTTTTGTTATGTATGATAATGTGTAGCTGTATTTATGAGTACCTGTATCTAAATAAACTTGCGTACTTATTGCAATGGTTGTCAACCTGTTTTTCAAAGGGATCTGCAAAAAGAGTTATTGACTTCATAATAGTTTGTAATGTCGACTGTTGTCTCAACTGAAAAAATCCTAAAAGTGACCCCTCTATAACAGTAATAGGATGATGGTGTCCATTAAAGCCGATTGTCTATTGAATCCGAAAGATAAATTTATTTTTCCATTATCGTACTAATAACAAACAATTCTGGATTTAACGGATTTTGTCCACTAAATGCAGGATTTTCACTAATAATGGTGTACATCATAGAATTTTCAGTAAAATAACATACTCTGCAGAATTTTCAGTAATAACATACAACGCGGAATTTTCAGTGGTAATAATGTACAATGCAAATTTTCATTAATAATGACATAAAGTGGAGAATTTTTAGCAGTAGTAATGTAGAATACTGATCTAACAAACGTTGTCCTGTTTCTGAAAGTTGTCTGTCAACAAATTTTGTTAGTAAAATCCACAATCCATCTAATCAGGATCCATTAATAAATCATGGCAGAAAAATAAAAGCTGCCGACACCGTTGCAAAGTTTTGAAAGATATATACATAATGTTTTCTTACTTTTTGTGGAGGGTTAACGTTGGCGAAAATTGATCCATTGTCAGTAACATTGATGAAAATGTGGCAAAACAGTATTGTTTTTCTGATTTTTCTAATCCAAATTATTATTATTTTCCTTTTTTTTCAGTTTCTAAGACTATATACAACATTGTTTAATGACAATAGATATTTTTCAAGTTTTAGTGCTAGAAACAGGCAGAGTTGTACAAAACACTACATCCACAATTTCATTACTCGCCATGAATTTCTTCCAATTAATATTTTGTCATTTCTAATGACTCTTTTTGTTTCAACACTCTGAAGAGAGAATTATTATAACAACAGTTATTTCAAGGTGGGATATTCCTTGAAACGTGGAGACAGGCACAGTGGTCCATCAGAAAACTTAACAGTAATATTGTGTATCTTTATTGGTAAGTCAACTGGTGCGGTCTGGATTGCTGGTGGTCCCACAAGTAGTGTTGACTGGGTAGATGGTGGTGTTACAGTTGCTGTTGGTGGTGTGTTGGCAGGGCAGCTGCTGATGCCACTGTAGTGTGGGAAGTGCAGCTGGTGGTGTCAGGGTTCCTGGTGGTGAAACATGCAGTTTTTGCAGGACAGCTAGTGGTGTCAGGTTTCCTGGTTTACCTGGAGAGGGTTTTGGGGGTCATCGCCCCCGCGGCTCGGTTTGAGACCAGGCCTCGTGGTGGATCGGGGTCTGATCAACCAGGCTTTTACTGCTGGCCGCACGCAAACTGACGTACGAACCACACGTGGTGTTTGCAGGGCAGCTGGTGGTGTCAGGATTGCTGATGGTACCACATGTGTTGACAGGGCATCTGATGGTGCCAAGGATGCTGATGATGACACATGTGATGTTAGCAGGTCAGCTGGTGTCACATGTTGAATTAGCTGGGATGCTGGTGGTGCCACAATTGGTGTTGGTAGGGAGCTGGTGTTAGCTGGAGTACTGGAGGTGCCACAAGTGGCGTTGGCAGAGCAGTTAGTAGTGCTATATATGTTGCCAGGGCATCTGGTGATGTCACGTATAGTGTTGGTAGGACCACTATGTCACATATTGCGTTGTGTTGGGAGGGAAACTGGTGGCTATACGAGGGGTGCTGATGGTGTTACATGTGGTGTTGGCAGGATAGCTGAAGGTGTCACATGTGATGATGTCAGTGGCCGATCAGCTGAGCTGTAGTTTGCACATTGGATTGTCTGTAGTCAGCAGCAACAGCATGGTTCATCAGGCCCTGATCCACCGGGAGGCCTGGTCAAGGACTGGGCCGCGGGTGTATTGACCTGGGAATGACCTCCAGGTAGGATAGCTGGAGGTGTCACATGTGGTGTTGGCAAGTCAACTGGTGGTCACAGGGGTGCTGGTGTCATATGTGGCGTCATGTGTTGGCAGAACAACTGGTGGTGGTAATATTGCTGGTGGTGTCACATGTTTTTTGGCAGGATAGCTAGAGGGGTAATTATTATTATTATTATTAAAGATTAGCCGGTATTCTCCCAGCCCGGGCCTTTTCCAAGTGGTGGCCCGGCCTTGGCTCCCTCTTTAGGGAGTGTCTGAGACCTAAGTCTCCCATGGGAGGAGGCACAAGTACCTCCTCATCTTTGGGACCAACTGTCCCCATGCCTAGCCACAAGCTAGGCCTCTCTGGTCTGCCATCCCCGCCCCAAGGGGGCAAATGGGAATGACAGTCTTATGAGCTAAAGGCTCGGGCTCAGGCACCTACCCTACCCTAGAAGGGTTAGGCATGGTATCGATGCTAGAGGGGTAAGAAGTGTTGTTGGCAGGACAATTGATGGTTCCATTTGTAGTCCGACAGGATAATAATAATAATTATTATAGGTAGTTGGTTGGTATACAGCAACCGCCCAGAGAGGTACTACCGTCCTGCCAAGTGAGTGTAAAACGAAAGCCTGTAATTGTTTTACATGGTGGTAGGATTGCTGGTGTCTTTTGTCTCTCATAAACATGCAAGATTTCAGGTACGTCTTGCTTCTTCTACTTACACTTAGGTCACACTACACATACATGTACAAGCATATATATACACACCCCTCTGGGTTTTCTGCTATTTTCTTTCTAGTTCTTGTTCTTGTGTATTTCCTCTTATTTCTATGGGGAAGTGGAACAGAATTCTTCCTCCGTAAGCCATGCGTGTTGTAAGAGGCGACTAAAATGCCGGGAGCAAGGGGCTAGTAACCCCTTCTCCTGTATAAATTACTAAATTTGAAAAGAGAAACTTTTGTTTTTCTTTTTGGGCCGCCCTGCCTCGGTGGGATACGGCCGGTTTGTTGAAAGAAGAATACACACACACACACACAAACACACACACGACCACGTGGTTCTGTGCTTTGAATATATAGTAGAGCTGCAAGTGGAGAGAGTAACAGGAGTTGAATGGGAAAAGCCTGACAATAAAAGAGGGGACTACATAGGGTTGAGGAACTTCCTGCGGGAGGTCCCGTGGGACAGAGAACTGGCAGGAAAGCCAGTAAACGAAGTGATGGAATATGCAACAACAAAATGCAAGGAGGCAGTGGAAAGGTTTATTCCCAAGGGCAACAGAAACAACGGGAAGACCAGAACGAGGCCCCTGGTTTACCCGACGGTGTAAGGAGGCAAAAACAAAGTGCAATAGAGAAAGGAAAAAATACAGAAGGCAGAGAACACACGAAAATAGGGAGATCAGTCGCAGAGCCAGGAACGAGTACGCACAGGTAAGGAGGAAGGCCCAGCGACAGTATGAAAATGGCATAGCATCGAAAATCAAGACTGACCCGAAACTGTTGTATAGCCACATCAGGAGGAAGACAACAGTCAAAGACCAGGTGATCAGATTAAGGACAGAAGGGGAAGAACTCACAAGAAATGATCAGGAGGTATGTGAGGAGCTAAACAGGAGATTTAAGGAAGTTTTTACAGTAGAGACAGGAAGGGCTGTGGGAAGACAGCACAGAAGGGAACATCAAGAGGGAATATACCAACAAGTGTTGGATGACATACGAACAACTGAGGAGGAGGTGAAGAAGCTGCTAAGTGACCTTGATACCTCGAAGGCGATGGGACCGGACAACATCTCCCCATGGGTCCTTAGAGAAGGAGCAGAGATGCTGTGCGTGCCTCTATCCACAATCTTCAACACATCCCTTGAAACTGGGCAACTACCTGAGAAATGGAAGACAGCAAATGTAGTCCCCATATTTAAGAAAGGAAACAGAAACGAGGCGCTAAACTACAGACCTGTGTCTCTGACATGTATTGTGTGCAAAGTCATGGAGAAGATTATCAGGAGGAGAGTGGTCGAACACCTGGAATGGAACAAGATTATAAATGAAAACCAGCATGGGTTCATGGAAGGCAAATCTTGTATCACAAACCTCCTGGAGTTTTATGACAAGGTAACAGAAGACACGAGAGAGAGGGGTGGGTTGATTGCGTTTTC